TGAACGAGGAATTACCCATTGAACTAAAACAACAGAGAGTAGGATCTCCATAAGTCAGAGGAGGCTTAGGATAGATTCTCCAAGCCCCCTGAATTTTGGTAGGGAAGAATTTTGGTAGGGAAGAATTTTGGTAGGGAATAGATACTATTTTAGTTCATGAAATATGAATAATACTGTAATGATAATTCCCTTTAGTTATGGTCTGAGTTGAAGGGAAACACTTTGCTTATAGGTCACTTCTTCTTAACACTTTGCAGAGGAAGAAAAAGATCACAGTTCACTGAGCCTAATGCAGTAAAATAAATGCTTCTTCTCTGAATCTGAGTGGCTGTTTTTGTCATTCTACTCCCACCTCAAATGAAGTTCTCTCTTCTCTGGATTTTTTCCAATAGTTCACAGGAGCAAGTGAATGAAAATGAATCTTTGCTATGCCTGGACAGACCATTTTCAGGTAGAAATGAAAGCTCATGTGCTCTACTGGCATAGGACTCCTCAGCTCTAAGCTGTAGTCTACAAATTATTGGTCTTTAATAAACTAAAAGAATTCACTTTTCCAGTACTGAACAGAGCTAGTAGCAGTGATCCAATAGCATGCTTCCAAAGCTTATTAAAGACAGCCAGAAAAATAGCACTGTGTGCTCACAGCTACTGAGGAGCAGGTGACCATGCTTTTCCATTGAGGGACAACAGATTCAATCTGCCACTACAGGCTGAGATTCCAGATGACCTGTCTGTGTTTTGCACTGAAGTCTATCCGGGTGCAGCAGTCTGAACTATCCTGCCTGATTGGAAGCATTGAGCAGACAGCTCTTATGCTCTATTCATTCACTCTGTAGCCAGGGCTAGTATACAACTGTTTCCAGGGCCATGAAGCCAAACACTGGATTTATTACTTGGGTAATAAATTGGACCACTTACAGTGACAGTGCCTCAGCGTGTGAGAAGTATAAGGCCGGTTTCAATGTCGATTTACACTTCTACTCCTGCATTACATTCTATCTTTCTTCCTGTCCTGATCCTTTGGGGGAAAAAAAGAAAAAACAAAAACAAAAACAATTTGTTCACACTTTCATTTCCCCAGGTCTTTGGAAGTATTTTTTTCCTGTTTTGCTCCACATGCTATCGCAATTGTTTCACCCAAATAATACAAAGTTGAAAGTAAAGTCAGCTCTGAATACAGCTAGTTACATCACTATTTTTGTATCTTTAATTAAGGTGAGGGACATTTGAATTAAAGTAGACACAGTTTGCAGCTTGAATTATTGGATAAATGACTTCTCTATCTCTTTTTGGAGTGTCAGTTGTTAAACACTGTTTATAAACTTCCTTTGAAAAGAATTATTACATTAATAAAAGCATTTAGAGGAAACAAACAACAAACCTAGGCTGGAAGGGAACAGATTCTTCTGTAGGACTCTGACCATGGCCAGAGATGAGGAGTGGGAAGCTGTATGAAGAGTTAGCGCAAGTACACAGTTGGTCAAGCTGGCAGGTACCCACATGCTGTGTCTTCAGTCTTTTCTTGGCACCACAGCAAAACATAAACATTACTTACTATTCTCCTTGTACAATACAAAATGAATTTTACAGTGAGCTTGCCGATTTGGGATTTATACTACTAAAAAAATAAAATCAAATTATGTGAATACCACGAGGTGCATCTGTATAACATTATCTCCTTCCTTTGACTTTTGAAAAAGTTACCACCATTTCCGAAGATGATCTTCAGCAAGTGTTCTACACAGAAACCTCATTTTTCCAGCTAAGTGAAGGACAAGACTTCCTCTTTTGATGGTTTGGTTTTATCATTTTTGCTGCAAACAAAAAGTCATTTGTTGGCAAGAACTTCCCTTTTTGCAATCTAACTACATTTCTTCATACTGAAACAGGGAATAAGCTAATATTTTCCCTACGCTGAAATAAGGAAAATACCTCTGGGTACAATGGGGACATTTCTGTAAATGTGACTTTCTGCAGTTATGGAAAGTATGAGAGTCTGAGTCAGAGACTGCCAGGAGTGGATACCTCAAGGTGGGAGGCTAGCACATAACAAGAAACAAATCTATTTATCCTCCCGTGGTCTAAGTCACAGCGTATTTATTTCTTGGTCACAGAATGACACTATACTGAAACTGCAAAATAACATCTAGAGCTGCTCGGACAAGGAAGCTGGGAGGTAGACAGCAAGGGAATCATCACTCTTTACTTGCCCCGTTTCTATAGTTACTTTATTTGCTCTTGAATACTACCAGAAACAGGATGCTTGCTTAGACATCCCTTTGATCTGACCCAGGTTTGGCAGCTGTTATGATTTTTCTTCCTCACCATTCCAAATGTTTGTGCAAATAAAAATAGTAAAGATAGGGCCACCATTTATAAAAAGAGAAAAACAATTGCAAATTTTAATGAAAACTCTGACCTTTTGTATCAAAATCAAGTGACTCAACATGGTGGGGTGGGGGGAACATATTTCAACATGTTTCAGACATCTCTGAGACTGTCTACCCGATCATTTGGGCATCTAGGCCCCTTAACTACCTCAGCTGTTCTTGTCAGAAGGCAGTAGGGCCATGCAAGTCTGCCTCGACCACTTTGTTGACCAGTTCAGAACGTTGCCAGTTAAACACCTTTAGGGCTTTTGACCAAGTGCTCCTTATCGCTCTTCCTGATGGAAACTAATGTTGATTAGTCTTTTGTTTTCATTCTTTTTTGGTTTGTGGCCCCTAAAAAAAATTACGGACGTAGAATCTTTACACTACACAATCAGGCCTACTGAGTAGGTTTTTCTGGCTTTGGTTTTTCTGGCTATCCCTATACATCTAGGCTGATAAAAAGTCCCATCAAACCATTAATTAAAGATTACAGGGACTGGAGGTTAACCCTAAACTGCACTGCTGATTGTTTGAGTCCATGTTTGTAGACATGCTTGTTACCATCACAAAGATAGGTGGGTAAGGTGGGTTAGGTTGAGCCTTTTTTAGTTCAGTTTAGTTTAGTTGACTTGTTTCCTTTTTTTTTTTTTTAATTTATTGACAAGATTATAGACCAGGACAATTTATATCCTATTTTGTTTATATTAATTTACCGGTTATTTAGCTAATATCTGCTTTACATTTGAAGTAGCACTTGGCAAAGTGAGTGCCATCTCTTCCTATTCTAGGTGATCCCTTCCCAGTTCTTCTCCCCCCCCTAGGCTGAAGGGTTTGCCCTGGCAGGCAAGACCCTGCCAGGACTTAGTAGAGGAGCTGCACACGTGGCTGCACACGGGGCAGGGGTCAGGGCTGGTTGAGGCTGAGAGGAGGGAGAGGTAGAGTGGCAGAGAAATACCTCCTCCATGCCCAAGGATGAAGGCTGGTAGGCCCAGCAGAGCCCTTCCATGGAGCAAGCCTGTCCCCTGGGCTTTGAAAAACAGCAGGGAGGGCCCCGTGGCAACTTCACAACTGCAAAAGAGGGTGCAGGCAAAGCAAGGTTGGACTTCATACTAATACTTTTCTCCTGTGTGTATTCCACAGGAATATGAGAACTCCAAAGAGAGGAAAGGATACTATAAAGAGAATGGATTGCTTTCCTAAGAAAGAAGATTATTTTAATCAGGGACACACAAGGAGGAAAAACAGCCACTGTGCTAGGTCTGATATGCATGCATACTAATACACAAAAAAGTTTCCTTGTCTTAACAAAGGAACTGTGAAATACTACACAGGGAGACCAGTTAACTAGTTACTTCATCATACTTTCTTCAGGACTGATGCTGCAGGGGAAGTTAAGCAACAAAAATCAGCATGTCTATATTGAAACTTCTGCAAGCCCCTGTGCAACTTCTAGACAAGAAGCTGCATTTGTAGCCACTACACATATTTATGTAAGCAAGCAGTACAAGCAGCCATGGGACTTCAAATAAAAACTGAGGTATATTTAACCTCCTGTACCAGAGCAGAAAGCAATTCTATGTGCAGAAAATAAAAGCAGTGTTCCTTTCCTACTATGATGCTGAACCAGCATGACAAATATTTGCAATTTGCTTTTAAATTGAGTTTGGTCAGGGAAAATTTGGCCATAGTAAGTGCAACTTCAGTGTCTTCCGGCCCTGTAGAGATAGTCTATAAGCAATCTCTAAAAAGATCTGTATTCCTTTACATCCATTTAGAACTTTTTTTAGTCAATTGCATCAGGTTTCTTGTTTTCTGGGCCATGAGCGTTCATGAAAGAGTACACCTGAAATTTTTTCTCCAAGAAGAATTCCATCCATCATCAATTGTTACTTTTTTATAAGTTTGCTATTATGTCAATTGCAGTATAATCCCTGATATGTAGGTTCTACATTCTGCAGTTTTGAAGCTGTCACACTGCCCGACATTCACTCTGGCAGGTGAAGCGCTCCAACCTGCGCCCTCCTGCCCATGCTCAGGGATAACTGTGTTGATGGGAATGTATATCTTGAGAGGCAAGGTGGTAGTGTACTGTTACCTTCTTTCCTGAGAGTCTGGCAACTTGAGAGAGCCAAGGTTTTTAGTGAAATTAAGTATATAATTTCTCCTGGCTAGCCTTGCTTAAGAACCCACGGTAAAGAGAAAGATTCTAACTCCTGCTGATCTTGAATGACCTTCTGCTCCTAGCTGTCCCCAGTTGTAGTCTCTAGTTTTCTAGGAACAGACACTAAGTTCAGATATTTCAGCTGGTTTCCCTGCAAACCTCGGCAAATATTTCATCTTTGCTACTCTTCTCCAGATAGTATTTCTCCCAGACATGTTCCATGGGAGCTGAGGCTGCAAACTGGCAGCAGTAACCTAAGATGCATTATTCTACATAAACTTACTACAATATATTCTAAGTTCTCACTTCTGCTCAAGCAAGAATTTTTGTTGTTTTAGCACAACGCGGTAACTTCTCTGAACCATGCCTGCTCCTTTCAATAGCTGCCGTTAGCAAACTCATCAAGGAGAGTGAGAGAAAAAAAAAGGAACCCCTTTAAAAACTAGCAGCTCTTCTTTTTGTTTCAGGAGAAAGTGTCCAGAAGATTTCTGGAAAAATGCTTTTCTACATATTCATCTTTCTTGGGATTATTTCTGTGTGGTGGCATTGGAGGACAAGAGATAGGATGAAGGTTACAAAACTCACTGGCAAATATATATTTATCACTGGATGTGACACGGGCTTTGGAAATCTGGCAGCAAAGACTTTTGATAAAAAGGGATTTCGTGTTTTTGCTGGTTGTCTGACTGAAACGGGAGCCAAAGAGCTAGCAGCTGTGACCTCTAAGCAGCTTCAGACAGTGCTGCTGGACGTGAGAGATTCCGACAGCGTTAAGAAAGTGGCTGCACGGATCAAAGCAGAGGTTCAGTCTGAAGGTGAGTTCCTGGATATATACAAAACAAAATAAAAACAAACAAATAAACAACAACAGTAACAACCCCCCCTCCCCCCATACACACCCCTCCTCTACGTACTTCCCAGGCTGCATTACCAGAACAGGGAACAAATAAAGTAACTTTTACTCAGGATTAAAGAATTGTTATTTTAAAAACTGAGTATATGTAATAAACGACTTGTAAACAATCATTATGTCACAAGCAAAAAATAGTTGAACTCTAGTGAATAACTCTGATCATAACTATTTTGGAATATTGCTCGCAAACCATTTGAAAATAGGACTATCCCATATCCTTGTTCCAACAAGTTGTGCAAGACAAGATGCTGCAGCTGTTCCTGATGCTAGCTGATTTCCATAGGACTGGTATTGCCATAGAGTTTACAAGGGTACAAGATCCTATCGACTGGATTCTGTCAACCTGGAGCCTTAAATTTGGTCTATTATGATGTGCCATAGTACCAACTATACTTAACACTGAATTCCAACTTCCATTTGACGTTCTCCCTCTTTGTAAAATTGCTTATAAACTTGCTCAACTTGCTTTTACTTGAAACTGTGCTCAGTTTCAGGCAAAAGTGATTTTTCCTCCGCTGATGAAAAACCTGAATAAAGTAAGATTGGCAAAAGTATTGATTTGCACAGCTCAAACAGCCAATGTAAGAAAATAACTAGTTTTAAGCTTTTGTATTTTCCCTCCCATTTACAAGAGCTCAGAAATTTTTAATCAAATGGATTTTAGTGTTTGTCCCCTGCCCCCACCTCATTTTTTGGAGCTGGCTGTTCATTAAAAATATATATATCGATAATATAAATCATATTACAAACATCTCCTTCCCACTTCTAGTTGAGTGATGTCATTCAGTGTAAGGCATAAGCCCTCTGCCACAATAGAAATGTCAGTGGGAGAAAAAAAATAATAGCTGGAGCTTTCTCAGTCACAGTTCCCATCTTGTTTTCAAAGGTCTGAAAATGATTTTTTTTTTGTTATTTGTGTTTGTTTTTAAAAAAAGAAGGCTGAGATCGGTTTTGTTAACTAGAGTTGTTCTGGTCCTGAGGTAGATGACTCTTTCTTTTTTTAAATACAAACTAAAACAGACTTTTAAATAGACCATGTCTATTCCCTGCACATTTGCTGCTCTCTCACATAACTGCTCTTCACTTAGCCTTCCTCTGCTGACCCTTCCCCCACTTAAAAAAAAAGACATAGAGATTGTACAGGGTGATGGAGAACATGGTGACAGAATTCAGACCCCCGAGAACAGAGCTGCAGGCTGCAGGACATTCTCATGCAATTCCTCTATAAATCTCAGTGGCCCACTTGGTCCCTCACCCATTCTCTGTGAAGTTTCACCCAGTTCAGTTTAACACATTTGCTGAAAATTTGCTTCCTAATTTTCTTCTTCTTTGTTTCCCTGCAGGTCTCTGGGGACTTGTCAATAATGCTGGGATCATGGGGCTATTAGCTCCTACAGACTGGTTGGATATTGAGCACTTTAGAGAACCAATTGAAGTTAATTTAATTGGACTCATAAATGTTACAATAAATATGCTTCCCTTGATAAAGAAAGCAAAGGGAAGGATAGTAAATGTATCCAGTGTTGGAGGTCGTCTAGCATTCAGTGGCGGAGGCTATTCCCCTTCAAAGTTTGGGGTAGAAGCATTCAATGACAGCTTAAGGTACAAGGCTCACTGTGAAGAAAGACCACCCCCATCCCCCCACCCCCAGCAAGGCTAACACTAGCACAGGAAGAATAGGAGCTGATTTACAAGCTTGGCAGTCAGCATGAATTTGAAGAATACTATGAACTAATTCTTCTTAAGAATGCCTTTGCTCAGCATAGGTTACGCCACTTTTGAAGACTACGATAGCAGGCCTGTTGGGCAGACAAAATGTCCTAAACGGTTATCGTGGCACAGTTAGAGCTCTGTAAATTCATAACTAACTTACCTTACTGTGTTCAGGGGCCTTATTGCAGAGGAGGCTCAGGTTAAGGAAACTGAGCACCTAGAAATTGTCACCCCAAGCCCATCCAGAAAAAAATGCATACCATGAGTTACTGCATGACATTAAGTTTAGTCTAAGCTTTGTTCTCAAGCCTATTCTCTTAATTATACTGATCACTAAAGAGATCTAGAGAATACAGCAACCTAATTCTAGTGACTTACCAGGGCTTCTTGATGTAACACAGGGAGCAATTTGTGTGCCTAAATACCAAGTGCCATTTTAGATACCAGAAGGTATATGAGACACTTACTTAAACAGGGCTGACAGACATGTCACAGGGCTAGAAAGAGCTGCACCGATATGGAGTACCAGCTAGAGGCCAAGTGGCATATGAACACATGAAACGGCTATAGATACTTGCATGTAAGCAGCCAGACAGTCTGTCTTACAGACAAATCCAGTAATTAACAAACTCCTGAAAGATGAGCTAGGATATGAAATAAAATATGCCAGCTATTGCATAGTCACTGCCCATGCATGCTCCTACCCTGTGGAAAAGACAAGATAGCTCATGCCTCTTTCATTTAGGGATAACAGACAGACTGCAAGTTCACACCCTTGCTTATCACACTGCTGTTGTGTGTGTGTGCAGGTGTGCCATGTAAAGACAGAAATAAAGGCAGTAGCACAGGAGAAACAATACTAATTAGAATGCCTAATGTGATGAGATCTTTGGGCTGTCTTTGCAGGAGAGATATGAAGGCTTTCGGAGTGAAAGTTTCTTGCATTGAACCTGGACTGTTCAGAACAGCATTATCAAATCCAGCTAAGATTATGAAAGAAAAGGAAGTTATCTGGAATCAGCTTCTCCCCAGTATTAAAAAGCAATATGGAGATGCGTATTTTCAGAAAGGTGAGGCAATTTCCAACCATTTTAAAAGAACCAAAACATTTATTGCTGAAAAAGACTTGCAAAATGGCATCATGTCTTGTGTCATTCTGACTTTTTGGAAATACTGTGCTGTAAAAAGTTATGCTTCAAATGCTTCTATATAATCACAATATGGCTATCCACGCAGAAGGAAAGAATTGTTATTTTATACCTGTGAAACTTTATTCAAATCTCAGGTAAAGATCAATTATTCGTGTTGGCATGTGCCGTGGCTTTGGAGCAAAATTCTAAGCAGAAACACTTTTATCTGATGATGCCAGGCTGGACCAATATGCTTGATGTGTTTTTCTGTCATTACCTTTTATTTATTTAGTAATCAAGTAGGGATAAACTCCCTTTGTTTCTATTAGCCCCAGTACTGATGAAGCCATTCAGGAATAGTGTCCGTATTTCTACTTCCCTCTGACATATTTATATTCATTCTGAGCAAAGGCTGGTTACCTGTCCTGAGGCAACAGAGGCCTGGCTTTGCTGTGATTGTTCAACAACTAAGGGTAACTAGATTGTGCTTGGGGTAAACTATATCACAAGGGCATTAAGGATGGAGGACTTAGTCCTCAGAAACTGCTAGGAATTCTTGGCTAGAGAGAAACAAGAAAAACTAATTCCTTAGTGAAATTGCACAAGTAAGTGTGGAGGGAGGAGTTAAGTGTCCTGGCTGTCACTAAACAATCTTTTCTGAGTTTTACAGATGCAGCAAAGAAAGAAAAGCTGTCCAAGATCTGTCTTAACAGAGACATTTCACTGGTTGTTCAGTGTATGGAACATGCGCTAACAAGCCTCCAGCCACGTACCCATTACATTGTTGGGAGAGATGCTAAGGTTTTTTGGAATCCCCTTTCAAAAATGCCTGCAGCTGTACAAGACTTCTTACTTCTGAGAAACAGAGCAGAGCTTGCAGCTCCACATGCAGAGTGAAGTCTTTGCCGATATAATCGCAGATGATAATCCTAATCCTCAACCCAAATGAGATTGAGTCTATAATATCTGTCCTTTATTTCAACATGATCCAAACTGTACCTGAAATACACCCTCATTCCCTTACATAAATGTAAGGAATATATCTATTTCTCCCGTACCTGCTATTATGAAAAAAAAATCTTTCCTTGTTTCATTATTTTGCCTCATTCCTAAAGTGTAAATCAGAAAGAACAAAGTCATTATTAAACTTTCAGGAATGACTGTGACTTTTCAGTTCCTTCAATTTCTGCATGCTCAGTTTGAGAACCCTTACAGGCTCCAGTTTTCACAAAGGTCTGTAAGTCACTCAAGTCTCTCAGGAAAATGGGGAACATGGCTTTAAGTCTCCAAAAGCAGGAAGAGGAGTTCAGTCTTCTCAGGCAGAGGAAGGAATGGGAACAGGGCCTTACTTTAGCAGAACCCTTTACTGAACTCTTGCAACCCCACCTAGCAAGGAGGGTAGAAAATCCTTCTCCTGAGGCTACTTTGTTTAGTAGAGTCACCCCTGTTCAGTTGTGAAACCAAGGAAACCGTAGGTGCCTTCCCTAGCTGAAGTCCTAACTAGAGAGAGAGCAAAATAAATTGCCTACATCGTAGAGATGGCTGGGATTCATGCCACTTCCCACCCATATGGTTTTATAGTGCTTAGGTGAGGCAGCTCCCTGGTCAGCATGCTAAATTTTGTCGGTCCAACTCCACTCCTGTATTGCAAAGGATCCTTCACTTTAAACTTAGATTGCAGAACCCAGTCAAGACAAGACAAGGGCCCAATGCCTGTAATTTAGGTACTGAAGAGTTAAGGGTTTTTTTGTATTGTTTTGTTTGTTTGTTTTTAAAACTGAACTTGCAAGACTTCACGTCTGGAAGTTATTTCTTAGCATAAAAATAATAGCCTTGTTTTTGTGAGGTGCTGAGCCTGCAGAGAGGCTCTATTTCTTGTTAAATTCCTGACACAAATGCCTTTTAAGATCTAGCTCCATTAGAATTAATCATGACAAAGTGCTTGAGAACTACAGAGACTCCCATGTCAGGTCTAAAACCACACATTGCTCAGGAAGTCATTTCCTACTGTCATGGAAACTACTCAGTGATGACACAAATGTTCTCTTCACAAATGCTTTCTTCATGGTGGTGAATATGCAGTGACATGATCAGGTCATGCTGACAAGCTACCCAGTGGCTATCTAAATATTGCTGGTTGTCAACTTTTTTCCTTGGAGCTTGCAAAATGTTATTCTGTTCTTCTCAGCACAGTTTACGCTTAGGCTTTGTGCGTTCATTTTATTTATCTCTATCAACTCAGTTATCTGAAAAGTTATTCCTTCCGGAGCAGGTTTGAGGTGGATACCTCAGCACTAGCTAATCCTACTGAAATATGGATGGCATTGCCATTTAAGATTTTATTTTTAAAATGTCTGTCAAGAAAAGTGACAGAAAAACAAGTTCTCCTATTTAACACTTCAGTCAAAGGCTACTGTATAACTGTTATGTGAGCTGGCAAATTCCCTGTCAAATTCTATATGATCTATTAGCTTTTCAGACAAAAGATCAGTCTGTACCTGTCAGTGAAATTACTGGCCCCTACAGAAGAGGCAGCGTTTAGTGCTAGTAACATGAGTATTGGCCTTAGCAGAGAGCCCTGACGTCACTTCACATAGAACATCATTCTCCTTCTGGAATTTAATCATTCCCCTCCCCACCACACCCTGAGATTCAACCCAAGCGATTTGGGAAACAGAGTATAAAAGGATATCATCTAGTCTGATCTCTGTCCTTAGAAATTCAAGTTTGGCTGGCTTATGCTAGTCCCTTTCAGACCACAGGCACACCATCAACTGCAGTGAGACCCTAGCACTGCGAAGGTTGACATTTAAAGGAAATTACAAACAGAATTTGGGTCACAGCACACTAACTGTAAATATATTATTTAAATTAGCAAAGCAGGAAAAACATCAGCTGTTCAATGCATTCCTAAGGCCTTTCTCATTGTTTAAAGGGCCAGATTCTGCCAGCATTTTCTCTCCTGGAACCAGATGCTTTATTTACTTAAATGCCAACAAAAAGAGCCAGTGACTTCTCAGAAGAATAAACCACAGTGTGTTCTGCTACAGCTATAAAAGTCTGTCATGCTCATAAGCTGTATAACGCAGGTGTATGTTTCCCACTGTCACGCGTAAAAATATTGTGTTTTAGAGACTAGAAGCCTCACTCAGGAGATGACTTGTGACTCACACAAGGGCAGGTGGTAAGTCAGAACATCCTCAGTGAAGGCACCCACAAGATCTGACTTCTGTTAGCTTGCTGGAACCAATATACAAAATCAAAGGCTTCAAAACCTCCATTTGTCCAGCAGAAATAATGTTAGTTTCCTGTTTTTCCACTTGAGAATCTCATTTCCTTTCCCAATGTCATGCTTCAAGCAGGATCATTTTTCCATGTCCTTTCTAGGAATCAGGGATTTCATTAAGAAATACACCTATAGATCCAATGGGAGATCAGACGTTCCAGTGCTGCCTGCTGTACATAGAAGACTGTCTCATGCCAAGCTCTCGGTAACGAAAAGCTACTTCTGGAGCTCACATTTTGCTTAGGTAATTTCTCTTCTGTTATGCCCCCTCACATAATGTGCTGCCAGCAAGTCAGAGAATCCTCTGCGAGAAAGGAAACATATGCTGTGTTTCAGTGTTTTCTGATATGCTAATTAGGATCCATTCTGCTTTCTGAAATGATTTTCTACAATTCAAAAGGAGGGAGGAGTGGCTGACACACCAGAAGGCTGTGCTGCCATTCAGAGGGACCTGGACAGGCTGGAGAGCTGGGCCGAGAGGAACCTCCGGAAGTTCAACCAAGGCAAGTGCAGGGTCCTGCACGTAGGGAGGAATAACCCCATGCCCCAGGACAGGCTGCTGGAAAGAAGCTCTGCAGAGAAGGACCTAGGAGTCCTGGTGGACAACAAGTTAAGCACGAGCCAGCAATGTGCCCTTGTGGCCAAGAAGGCCAATGGGATCCTGGGGTGCGTTAGGAATACTCCTCATCTATTCAGCCCTGGTGAGGCCTCACTTGGAGTACTGTGTCCAATTCTGGCCTCCCCAGTCCAAGAGAGACATGGCACTACCGGAGAGAGTCCAGCGGAGGGCTACAAGGATGATGAGGGGACTGGAGCATCTCTCCTCTGAAGAAAGGCTGCGAGAGCTGGGCCTGTTGAGCCTGCAGAAGAGAAGACTGAGAGGCGATCTCATCAATGCGAACAAGTATCTGAAGGGAGGGTGTCGAGAGGATGGGGCCAGTCTCTTCTCCGTGGTGCCCAGCGACAGGACAAGAGGCAACGGGCACAAACTGAAACGCAGGAAGTTCCGTCTGAACCTGAGGAAAAACTTCCTTTCCTGTGAGGGTGACTGAGCACCGGAACAGGTTGCCCAGAGAGGTAATGGAGTCTCCTTCCCTGGAGATATTCAAAACCCGTCTGGATGCGATCCTGGGAAATATGCTCTAGAGGACACTGCTTGAGCAGGGGGGTTGGACTAGATGATCTCCAGAGGTCCTTTCCAACCTTGGCTGTTCTGTGATTCCGTGATTCTGTGATTATGTAAAAAGCAGGATCCTGAGAATAAAGCCAGCAGTGGAGAAAGAAAAAATCCTTTTAGAGTTTTCTCTCCTTCATTTGCATGGCAAAGGATTGCTGCCTGTCATATCAGGTAGCTAATAATAACAGGTTGTTAATAATAATCCTGACTTGATACTATAACCTAGTCTTAGACCTTGAGAAGCATTCCACTAGGAAAGGCTTTGCCTGCTTGCAGATTGCCGTTCTGTGGTCATTTCAACCAACCTGTAGAGTTAGCCTGTCATTTAAATCACTTCAGACATGACTAGGCCGGCCTAACAAGAACGTCTGCCAGATTTGTTAAAGAAATCGATGCCAGCCAGCCCCTGTTAAAAAACATACACACGGACCCCAAGTCTCCAGCAAGTTACACGTATCTACTGACCAGCTGCAGAGTGCTGCAAGAGTAATAACAGTCTGCACCAGAGCTGGGGCTCTGTCAGAAAGTGTCAAAAGAAGCAGGGATTTCCAGACCTATGCCAGAACAAGTAGGGAAGGGAAATGGAAGGGAAAG